GTTGAGGAGGAAGGCTCTCTTTTTCCAAGAGATTAAAGGGAATTAGACACATTCTCAGAAGGTGGAAGCAATTGCATTGTTCTCCCAGTTCTAATGTAGATATTTTGGAAAGGAACGGAAGGAATCTCTCTGACAGAGAATGACTTGTAAAGAAGCTTTCATTCCTATACAGGAGCACAGCACCTAGATGGGGGGCTAGGAAAATGCCTTCAGGGACTCTTCTTGGAAAAGGGGTAAACTCTCACTTCCAAATACAGTGTCTTTTGAAAATTTCGCATTTATAGAATGTTTGAGATAAAGAAAGGACAAGGGGGTGGAGACCCATTGTTGGCATAATGGCTATGTCTCTGGACTCCCATGTAGTTGACTGCAGCTCGATTCCCGAATCCAGTGCCTTAAATTCACGCCGGGTGCATGTGCGTGTGTGACCAAGATCCTGAGAGGAGAATGGAGGAGAAGGGATTGTGGCGTGGCCATCCTCCCTGAGGGGTGATTTCTCACTTTCTGTTTCTCTGTCTGTCTCTGTCTTTCTGGTGAGTGTACACGCCCTATAGCAAAAACCTCTCCAAAAAAAAAAAGAAGAAGTAAAAGAAAGAAAGGACAAGAGGAGAAAGGGATAATGAGTCTTGACTCACAGAACCTGACAGCTTCCAGTCCAGATCTGATCTTAGGGGTCCCCATTGACTTTCTGAGTTATGGCATCCCGTACCTGTACTCAGCTTAGAACTCCAGGGTTTTATTCCTCACCATTTCAGGTCACCGATCTATGAGACTGGAAGAAACTCTTACTATCAATAGTTTGCCAGGTGGGGATTCAACAGATTGGAATAAAGTTAATTCAGGACAAGTTTCATTTAAAATTAGTCTAAATTAGGACTTCGTTAAAGAAACAAAACAGTAAATTGTATCAATCTTGCATTATGAATAACATTATTAATAGTATTATCATAGTATTCATAATAGTAGTATTTATGAATACTCTCAGTGGATTCTTTGTGCAGTGGATTCTTTGTGCTTACAGATAAATTGAAAGGTAGAATTTCAGTTCTACCTAATAGCAAAAAGATCATCTTTGTTGCATAAAATTAAACAGAAAGTCAAGCCATACCAAACGTTATAAAATGCTTGGTCAGAAGCAGAAAGTTGTCATCTTTCAGGTTGCTCTAAATGTGATCGCTTTATCACTTAACTGCTATTGGGCAAATTTTATGAAGGTGCATTTGTGCTATTGCACAATGACTAGCTGCTAACAGAGGTGTCAACCCACAGATTTAAAATATTCTTTATCTTAATGTGAAGGGACAGACATTGTTGGTTGTGTTTCCTGCTAAATTCTCTTTGAATGTGCATCATTAAAGTGTAAGTGAGAAAGGCAAGTGTCTTTAGTTATTTAAGCTCCGCATACTAAGCAGCCTGTCCATAAAATTCCAGTCAAAATCGGAGGTACTTTCAGCCTAAGACTGAGAGACGGTGTTTGTGCTGGCTTCCCTCCGTTCTCTGAGGCAGCAGTGGTGCTTCTCAAACATGGTTGAAGATGCATCTTAGTGTTGAATTCATCCATAAACTTGGCAGCCAGGCTTGCCTTCTGCTTCTCCAGGTTTTGATATCTATCAAGCATCAGTGGTCTGTACTGGTTCCCTTGTGCTCTGGGCAGAGGTCTGTAGTCAGCATCCCCGAGTTTCCATAACCAGACTAACCAGAGCTAGCCGGGCTCTGGTTTCATCTCCCTGGAGGCCAGAAAAGCATGTAGCTTCTCATTTGCTGAATTTCCCACTGCTGAAATCAAACTTTGTCCTGCCCTTAGCCATAGAGAGAACGTTTCTCTCCCCTGCTGCTGAGATCTGCATTAAAGCAGATGTTGAAAGATGAAGTTTCATGATAGAGAAACGGCTTCATCTCTGTGAAATTTGTGTCAGGTTGTTATGAATGTGATACTCTTTAAGAAATCTGCAAACCTAACTAGAGATTATTTTATATGGCTTAACATTTCTTTAAACCATCTGTCAATACAACGACTTTAGAAAAGACGAAGGAGCATGTCACTTGATATAAATGCCTGGGCTGATGGGAAAGGAATGGCGCTCTGCTTTGTTTTGGTTGTGGCAGGGGTGAACAAACTATGTCTGGCCCCCAAGCGAAATCCAGCCCAGTGCCTGTTTTTATGAATACATTTTATTGGAACACAGCCGTGCCCATTCATTTACATAGTGTCGATGGCTACTTTTCTGCTACAGAGACAGAATTGAAGATGTCACGGCCCAAAAAGCCTGAAATATTTCCTATCTGTCCCTTTACAGAAAAAACCTTACCAAACCCTAGGTAATGTAATCATGGTGTTACAGGAAGAAGGTTTCAGAGCTGACATTTTTGGAACTGCTGCAAGTTACTGAACTCCTCTAAGCATGTAAGATTTATGTCATGGAAATGGAGGATACTGAGGATTATAATTTTTAATTAGATATAACATTTAAAATTCTGCCCTTGCTCCAGACCCTACAAATGAGGCAGCCCCTTTAAATGAGGCAGCCTCAAATGGAGCACTTAGCCCAGCGTCCGCACACAGAGAGTGCTCAATAAACACACAAACCGAAAATCGCTGATTATTTTTGTTATCTTCATTATCCTCATTTTCTGCCCCTTTTGTGGCCTTGGCTCAGGAATTGTTGAACAGTTTTTCTTCTCCACTGTTCTGCCAGGTGGTAGCTTTGTTTTCTGCTAGAAGGTAGGACACAGACTAGTGAGGTTTTAATAGTTGTTTTGTTCAAGCCCCAGGGGCCAGTGTTTGAACCATGATTGACTGTGTGGGATCTGGTTCCCTTAACCACTAGGCCATGGGCCAACCCTTATTTACTTTTTGTTAGCTATTTATCCCCACCGATATTAGTTCCACCAGGATCAGGATTATTATCTGTTTTGTTCACTGATATGTTCTTGATCTCTGTGACAGTGTTTGGTACATAGTAGGTGTTTCTTGAATAAAAGAATGGAGCCCAGAGTGCTTTCATATGGCCCTTCTTAGAAGCACCCTGCTCGGTTTGGGCTGGGATCTGGCACGGGCTAGGGGAATAGGTGGCAAGCAGCCTGTTGGACTTGAGCAACCAATAGTGTTGGACAGTCATGGCATGAGCGAGGTCAGTTACACAACAACAAAGGTCTGTAGGAAAGCTCTGTAATTTTAAGGTTGGACATGGGAGTTCTAGCGATGAAAAGAAATTGTTTGGATTTTGGTCTTTGATTGTGTGTGTGTTTCTTGTTTTTCTTTGGTACATACAAGGCTGCTACAAGCCACCTGTGCAGTCGAATCCAATGCTTGCGGTGGGGGAAGGGAGACATGGCCTCGGATCAAATCATTGTGTCCCCCCACCCCCACCGCGGGGAATAAGATGGTGACTCACCTTGGCCAAACTATGAACCCTAAACCTTTACGGAGCTGGATCAAACAACCTGTGGGCCTCAAAATGGGGAGCTGGAGCTGTCACTTGATTCCCAGGGTCTCCAAGACAGACATTTCTAATGCTTCTTTCTTGTTTTTCTACTTGTGATACCAAAGAATACACTTTTAAGAATGAGAGCAGAAGGAGAGTGGAGAGGTGTTTTTTCAAAAGAGATGTGTTTAAGTTAATTTCCTCTGGGTCCACTTGGCAGGCAGGATGCATCTCCGTGGGTATGAGAGACCACATTGCACCAAGTCAGAGGCCCTGCCCATCAGATCTTGGGCACTCGCATGCTCACTTAGCATGTTTCAGGCTGACCAAGCCAGGGAGTCAAACTATAGTTACCATGTGGAGTCTGACTTCTCTTGAGCACCACATTCCCACTGAGCCACAGAGCCAGCCACCTGAGGCTTTCAGAGACATGTTATTGATATTTCAAAGTCCCACTTGAGCACATGAACTCTGTGCTTGTTGGGAAAGCTGGGGCAGAGTCTGCAGAAGAATCGTTTTAATACAGCATGTTTGTGATATGTTCCAAGCTGCATGACTTAGGAGCTGGCCTGTGGGTGGAAGAATTTTAGCTGACCAGAATGGGAGATATACAAGTTGGCACATCTGGAAGCAGATTGATGCCCCTCAGTGACCAGCATTTCCCTAGGACATGGTAGGGAGCTCTCGAACTATCCCCTACCAAGCCATGATGTGACCTGCTGTTGCTACACAGATCCAAATTTGGACACATGAGGCCAAATGGTTATATAGCAGCAGTGAAATGAAGAGAAGGGAGCATGGATCAGAGGATCCATTCAGGACTCAAGAATGTCCATGTGGGGGAACCAGCAGTTAGCGTAATGGCTATGTCGTTGGACTCCCACATAGTCGACTGCAGTTCGCGTCCCAGACCCAGTGGCTTAAAACTCACGCTGGGCGCGTGTGTGTGCGTGCCCAAGATCCCAGAAGGAGAATGGAGGAGAAGGGATTGCAGCGTGACCATCCCCCTGGGGGGTGATTTCTCGCTTTCTGTCTCTATGTCTCTCTCTCTCTGTCTGGCAAGCGCATGTGCCCTATAGCGAAAACCTCTCAAAAAAAAAAAAAAAAAAAAAAAAAAAAAAAAAAAAAAAAAAAAAAAAAAAAAAAATGTCCATGGTCCCTAGAAGGCCTGAGTTGTTTGATCCAGCTCTAGAAAACTCTATCCTGTGCCCTATAGCGAAAACCTCTCAAAAAAAAAAAAAAAAAAAAGAAAGAAAAAAAGAAAAAGAAAAAGAAAAGAAAAGAAAAAAAGAATGTCCATGTGGGACATCTCGTGATGGCTGACCTGCAGGACTGCAGGGCACTTTGAAACTGCAGACAAACTTGTTCTCTACACGTGCCAAAGAACTGGCCTGCCAGTGTAGCACTGGCATTTTAGAGAACTAATGTGTAAATGTTGGCTAAGACTGGGGAGTTTTTATTCATCGCTCTATCACAGAACAAGCTCTATTTGAAAGTTACTAATATAGGAGATGGGGCTCAAGAGAGTTCATTGCACCCCTAAGATAATCCTGTTCTTTGTACCTTACTTTCCAGCATGGGCTACTGCATCCTTGTCGTGCATGGATTGAGCAAGCTCTGCACTTGGCTGAATCGATGCGGGGCCACTAGCCTGATTGTGTCCACCGTGTTGTTGCTGTTGCTGTTCTCTTGGAAAACCGTGAAACAGAACGACATTTGGCTGTCAAGAGAGTCCCTGTTCAGGTATGCTGACAGAAGTAAAAGTGAATCTTTTCCTCTTTATTCATTCCTTTGCTTATATATTTGCTTCCAAGCAGATGAGTTGACATGAGTCTGTGATGAGTTTCCAGCTGCATGGCTTTGCAGTTGGTTAGAATTATTAATCCAGAAAATTATTTTTAGTAAAATTTTAAAAGAGAGATGTAATTTTAGTTTGGTTTTAACTTTAGATTTTTAAAGTAGTATTATGCAGATTTTAATCTGAATGAATTTATAAAAATAAGACTCAAGGAGAGGTTTCTGGGTTTGTGAATCCCAATGGAAACACCCTTAATGATGAACTGGACTGTAAAATCAGCTATGAACAAAGTGAAACCAATAAGCCAAATTTCATCATCTAATCGCGTGAATGGGAAAGATGAGCACACGTCAGGGAGGAAGAGAGATGGCATATGTTTCTTTAGAATTTTTCAGCATGCTAAGTTGTAGTCTGTGATCTAGTTGCTTTATTTTAAACCTTATTTTTCTGTGGTGTAGAAGTTTTTAAATATAGTAGTATCAACTTACAGCCTTAAATTTGTCATAAAGGTAAACATTCTTTGTGACCATCCCCCATCCTTGTGATTCTAGGCTCACTCAGTCTGTCTCTCTGACGCCATAGCCCTGGGGACCTTCATCTGGGCTCTGATGGCCCTGCCACCCCTAGCATCCCAGCAGAACCTGCCCATCTCCCAGGCATTTCCCAGGGATCTCCATTCTGTGTCCTCTTCCAGCTTCTGTTCTCACTTATGACCCAATTGGCCAATTTAATCAACATGGTTTTATACTTGATTCTTTGACCCACTGGTACATGACCCTTATTTTTTGAGAGGGACACATCACTGCAACAGAGGTGGGATCTCTTGAGGAAAGGGGGGAACTTCTGGAAGAGTGTGGGGAAGTACATGGAATGGAAGGGCCATGAAGAAGCAGGCCGGCAGCAGACAGGAAATGGGCGTCTGGACAGACTGTCTTGAGCGCTTTCTCAAGACTGAGTGGGAAAACTGACACTGGTGTTTTCTGTCTTCACACGAGAGTCCTTGGGAAAGGACTTCCTACAGCTAGGCTTGAGCTGAAGTCATGTGCCTGCCCCTTGTCTTCACCAGGGCACTGAGCTGACGGACCTGGCCAACAAAGCCTCCTCTGACTTCCATGAAGAAAATTAGGGCAGGCAGAACACTTTGGGGTACCACAAAGACCTCACAAAGTGAGGTGAGAGGAGTTTCCTGCATGGCAAGCAAGAAGTGTAAGAAGTGGGAACAGAAAGTAGGCTGAATGAATCAGTGGGTGAACAATGTTCTCTACACTCTTAAGCTATTTTATTTATTGTTATGCACTCAATCACTGTATATCATTACAGCGTGCAAAATGAATTCTCCCAGCATGGATGCACTGAACATTAGTCTAGTTAAAGATATTACCATACATATTATCATCAACAGATTATTTTCCATTTTCGTGACCCTTAAATGTTTCATTTCTTTCTTGGTCCTTGATTCCCTTCCTCTCACTGTCCCTCGTTTGCCACCCTCTTACACTGTCTCTAGTACCTACATTTGTTCTCCATGCTTTTCTGTCTTCCAGTCTTCCAGTTCCTGCCATAGAGTGCAGACATTCAGTATATACTGAGTCGGGGCAGGCAGGGCCTCTTTTTCATAGTCTGGCCTGCTTCGCTGAGCAGTAAATCTTCAATATTCGTTCTCTTTTATAGTCCGGCTTGCTTCGCTTAGCAATAACTCTTCCATATTTGTCCACTTTCTATCCAACGCCAAGGTCTTCAGCTATTTTAAGATAATATATCTGATTTTACTACTCGTCATTTTAAATATTTTAAAACTAGAAAACAAAATTAGTTCAGTGCCCCTATCCTATTTTATTTATTCATGAATGTAAATGGATTTCAAAAAGTTCTTGGAAAAATGCATACTATGAAAAAAAATATGCGTGAATTTCATACATTTTGCACCCAAATAAACTTATACTTTAATTCTATTTTTCTATAGACATTTTGAAGTATCCCCATATCATTGTCACCATCATCATTGCCAACATTATTTCAGTGGGTGCCTTAGAGAGCTGTTAAAATTAAAGTCTTTTGTGTGGATTTACCATCAACATTATTATTATAATTTTCCACACAGACCTACACAAATCACCGTAAGACTTCAGGTGGTACCCAGTCCCTGTAATGCCCCTCCGCATTTCACAGGACACTCGCAGACCACCTGGGAGTTATTTCCCCCTCACTGTATGCCGAGGTCATTCTGTAAACACCAGAGTATTGAAGGTCTCTGATGAAACTTCCTCCTGGTCCAGGTTGGCTTAAAATCTTTTTTCATTTTCTTTCACTAGTCAGTGCTTTTATGAGAAACTTCAAAATGGTTGTGCCCTGTATACATCCCTGGCCTGAATAAAGATACTAGCAGTGGTTGTGTCTGCTAATGATGTTTACTGCTCACTCAGAACAACTTTGGGGGAGATGCTGGCAGGCAGCAGTCTAGTTCGAGGATAAGTCAGTGCTCAAACCCTTTCCAGCTGATGCCAGCAATTAGAAAACAGAAACCAAGCAGTAGCCCATAAAACCTCCTAGACTTTGTATCCAAGAGCTTCTGCTGTTATACATGGAAGTATGTAAAAAGTGACCAGTTGATTACTAAAACAGGAGCAGTCCACACCTGTGCTAAAGAGACTTTGTGCCTGGGAAGGCCTTTGGTGGTTGAATGGGATTTTGTGTAATGTGTAAATCAAAGCTGTTGATGTTTTTTAGAAAACTTTGCCTACTGTCAATTATCTTTATTTTGAGAACACTTTTAAGAAGCTGAGACATTGAGACCAATCTTTTTTTTCAAGACCATATGTTTGTATGAATTGATTTGTGCTGAGTAATGTTCAAATTCATTGCATAAACATTTACTGAGGATCTATGAGGCAGGATAGGGTTAGTGATTGAGTATACAGTCTGAAGTTAGACTTTCTGGACCTGTTCCAAGTTCTGTCATTTAATATTAGTGTGATTTGGGGCAATTTACTCATCTATTCTGTGCCTTAGGTTCTTTATTTTACGACTTAGAATAATAGTGTTTATTCCTGGGTATCCTGTGAGAATAAAATAGTATGCTAAAAATACATAGGACAATGTCTGTCATATGATAAACACTGTAAATTTTTCAAAGTTTTACTATGTACACTGTGTTCTAGAACATGAGTGAGTGAATGAGTAAGAGAGAGATTGCCCATTGGGGAGCTGAAAGTCTTTATGGGAGTTATATGTGTAGAATATTTCAATATAATGTAGCGAGAGACAGTTAGACAAAGAATAATGTGTAAGTGCAAAAGGTGACTCAGATCAACCCAGGCTTTCAAGGGTCATTCTCTTACAGGCCTGAGGAGAGTGTTAAGGATGATATAAACCCAGTTAGCCATAATGCACACAAAACCAAAGGCTGGCCGAATTGATTAAGAAAAAAATTGCAATGATTCTAGAAAAGGTGATGCCCTTGGCCAGTGGCCTGCTTCTGTCTTCTCTGTTCCAGACAATAAACCTGTTGACCCTTGTGCGAATACATGGTTTAGCCAAAGCCTCTTTAATGATGTGGAATGGATTTGCTTGGACGTGCTGTAAATGGTCTTCCAGAATGTCATAAGGCAGACTTTTTTTTTTTTTTTGGAGAGGTTTTTGCTATAGGGCGCGTGCACTCGCCAGACAGACAGAGAGAGACATAGAGACAGAAAGTGAGAAATCACCCCCCAGGGGGGATGGTCACGCTGCAATCCCTTCTCCTCCATTCTCCTCTCGGGATCTTGGGCACGCACGCACACATGCCCGGCGTGAGTTTTAAGCCACCGGGTCTGGGACGCGAACCGTGGTCGACTACGTGGGAGTTCAGCAACATAGCCATTACGCTAACTGCTGTTAAGGCAGACTTTTGAGTTGGAGAAAATACAAATTTTCATGAACCGTGGTCGACTACGTGGGAGTCCAGCGACATAGCCATTACGTTAACTGCTGGTTCCCCATAAGGCAGACTTTTGAGTTGGAGAAAACACAAATTTTGAACAAGCTCCAGCCTTTGTAGCTGAAGCCTCTTCTTCCTTAAAAAACAAAATCACTCTTTAAGATGTATTTTGGGGGAGGGTCAGCAGATAACATGGTGGTTAAGGTGCTGGACACTCCCACAGGGCCCACCAGACTTGAAGTCCGGGAGCTGGTGGCTTTCTCTCTCTCTCTCTCTCTCTCGTCAAATTAAAATACATGAATGAATAAATAAAATTAAATAATTCTTTTTTTAAAAAAAATGTGTTTTGGGGAAATACAGATACAGCGTCCTCACACAGCATTATTCTCCTATTAGCAAGAACCTTACACACAAAATGGACAAAGCCCCACCCAGTCTTGTCTCTCATCAGAGGCCTGAAGAGAGTCAACTATCCAAGCTGCAGTAGCTGTTAAGCGGGTGATCCAGGGTTTGAACCCAAGCCTGATATTAAACCCAGAAGATCCATGAACTTTGCCTCACCTATTTTTTTTTGTTTGTTTGTTTTCTAATCTAAGCTAGGTCCATTATAACCAGGGAAAGAAAGAGAAGGAGAGAGAGTTGTTCATAATCATAGTTGCCAGGTTTATTATTTCTAATTCCTACAAGAAAGTTTTCTAATGTCCTAACCTGGGAGAGGATTACTGCCTAACGTCAGATGAGCCTAGTAACATCCTAGAACCTTACATTGTTTTGATTGCTTAGATTAAAACCCCTCCCTTCAATCTTCAAAATACTTGGAAAGATAGAGATGAATGTATTTTCTTTCACATCTACTTTAGAGACTCTCTGAATCCCATTTATGAGCCATTTCAGGAATCCTTGGGCCATAGATAACAATCATGGCCTAGATCATTCGTCTCTGCAACCCCCTCGGTGAGAAACACGATTCTCCTCTTTTCTGAACAGCTGAGCCAGAGAGACCAGCAGACACAACAAGGCAAATAATAC